AATTATGGGTTTTGTATTTTATTTTAATAGAAGTTGATGTTGCTTTTGCAATTATCCATCAATTTTTTAAAATTAAACACTATCTACAGATTTGCATCGAAGCGTTTCTTATGATAGTGATTTTAATCACTGTCAGATTAAATCTATTTATTCGTGATAATGACCTTTTTTTACTCATTCAAGTTTTTTTTTTTAACTATGGATCAATACAATTTTTTAATGAGAAATAGTATTTATATACATCTTTCATTCGACATACTTTTTTTTTAAATCGGACAATTTCCCTAAATACAGGGGGGGGGTTCAAATCTGAAAAATGCATATAGAAAATAGAACTTTTTCAATTTAACTTTTAAAATTGTTCCGGAAAGTCTGACACTTTTATATATATATTAAATTAAAGCTAATGTAATATACTTTATCATGGAAAAAAAAAATTGGACTTTATTTTGTCTTCACGGTGAAAACAATGCTTTCCTATTGACTATTGACTGTTATGCTATGCGTTACATATTATTTTCATTAATATCATAAGATTATAATATGATATTATTTCAAATGCTACCGCTTATTAAACGTTCAAGTGTTGCGAGTATCACATTTGTAGTTAATAATTTATTCACAACTATGAAAAAATTAATTTTATAGATAATTTTATAAATTTATTGTTACATAAAATATATAATAATAAATTATTATTAATAATATCTTGTAATATGTATGTAGTTAGTACTTAGTTACGTTTAAAACATTGTATATAATTTAAATTATTGGGGAACTAATTATTTAAATTTTTACAGGTTGTAAATTGATTCTTTTCGACCGAAAATAGAAAATAAAAGTTTTTTTATATCTTTTAATGCATTGTTACTATCCATGACACTATCACCTTTAATTTACAGTCATCTGTTAGTTTTTAGTGCAGTGCGGTTTTGTCTTGCAGATAGTCGGTAGAGTCGAGGGAAAAAGAAGAAAATAATTAATTAAACAAATTTTTAATTATTTTATATATTTTTAGCTTCGATGCGAAGCTGAGAAGGTATTAATTTTACCATAATGTGTTAATTTTTTTTTTTTTTTGTGTCTGTCACTACTTTTTCTCAGCTATTACTGGACCGATTTCTTTCAACGATACGTCAAAAGATCACAAATCGTATATAGTCGAAGACATTACCCTTAAAAATTAAATATTATATATTTGTTTCTGATGAAAGATCCTTGTAGTACAGTGTATAAAACTTATAACTTTGTTAAGTGTTAAACTTTATCAGAAATTACCAAATGAGTATAATTTTTTTTTTATATAGATGCATGTCTTTATCTATCATTTGGTTTTTTTTTTTTATAAATCTAACCCTTTACCTGACCACAGGGGGCTTCAAAATAATAACTTTTTTTTTTTAGTTAAAGTAAATCATTAAAATTAATTCAGTTCTGGATATTTCAATAGTAGAATCTTTTTAAATATCAAAAATTACTTAGAAATGATTACCATGATTTCTATTTAAGTGTTCTATTACGATAAAAATGCAAAAAATAATGAGTTTTTCTGATAAATTTACAATAAATAATAATTATAAAACTTTCTGACTGCATATTAATCTTAAAAATAACATTGTTTTAATTCTCATCAAATTTTCTATTTAATGATTTATTCTAGTCAACGAAGGAGTAATTTTGGCAAATAACAGNTAAAATCACTATCATAAGAAACGCTTCGATGCAAATCTGTAGATAGTGTTTCCTTTAGGGAAATTGGTGGATTATTCCAAAAGCAACATCAACTCTTATTTCTTTAATTATATCCTGATTAGTAGTTCTTTGATTTTAATATATAATATATGAAAATACACTAATTATAATTATTAAATTTAGTATGAAATTGNAAATATATACTAAATTAAATTTAGTATGAAATTGATATTCAATAATTTAATATTTTAATTTAAACGGAGAAATTATAAAAATAATAAAGAAGTTATATTTTGCTTTACTTTTACGTGTATAAAAATTTAAAGGGCTTGATACAATAGTTTTCAATAAAAACTGTTTGTTACTATAAAAAAATGCACTGGAGTACAAGGAACTTTCATCGGAAGCAAAAATATACTTTTCTAAATCAACTTTTCGCGTTGTTTTCAAATCTAGTAGACTTTTTCTATCACTTCTAATTTTTTATATTATTACTAATTATATATATAAAATAATAATTAAAAGAAAAAAAAATTTGTTTTCAAATTATTACTGATTTGATTTTTAATATGTTAAAAATAATCAGTCCAAATTTTCAATTTTAACCTATTTTTTTGGTTCTTTAAAGTTGATGAAAAATTTTTGATAAAGATTTATGAAAGTTTATAGTAAAAAAAATTGAATATATTACCATAACTTTTAGCTCAATTACAAGTTTAAAATTGACATCCAGGCCAGTCAACAAAGGAAAAATTGCGGAAAGNGCTTTACTTTTACGTGTATAAAAATTTAAAGGGCTTGATACAATAATTTTCAATAAAAACTGTTTGTTTTTAAAAGTTGAATTAAAATATGTATAATGACATACTAATAGTCCTCAAGATTGGAATTGAGCTTTTTTTTTACAGCCTCGCAAAAGTTCAAAAATATGAGCTTTTTTAATTTTCTCAAAAAATATTTAACTTACAAAAAAAAGTTTCGTACAAAAGTTGTTTAAAAGACAATTATAAACAAAAAAAGTATCGTATATTTTTTCATTTAAACAAATATTTTTCGAGTTACATTACATTTAATATGAGTACTAAAATTTATATTCCATTTTTTTCATTTTACGGTTACTTTTTATCATGTTATACTTACATTAGACACAATGTTATAAATGCATATGTGTTGTAAGGTTTCAGCCAAACCAGAGGGCCTACTAATTACCCACTGCCCAGGGGGAACACTGGACAGTGACCTAGTAGCCGCGCCAAGCAAGATAGTACTTGTTGACGGAGCTACTAGATTTTGAAAAAAAAAAAACAAATATTAATAAAAATGAGGAAAAAAAAACATGCCATGTATAATATTATAACATTTTTCTTTTAATTATTGAAGATTTCTAATATATATATATATATATATATATTCATAAAGGAAAAATAAAAAAGGAAGAAAAAGAGCGGTGCTAGATACACAAAATTAAAAAGGGGGTTTCATGTTGATACTTGTTGTTGTTTGTTGATTGTTTGGAGGAGTGACGGCCCACCACCGGCCATAGTTANTTCCCAACCAAATTTTGTTTTTCTAAAAGTTGAATTAAAATATGTATAATGACATACTAATAGTCCTCATTGATTGGAATTGACCTTTTTTTTTACAGCCTCGCAAAAGTTCAAAAATATGAGCTTTTTTAATTTTCTCAAAAAATATTAACTTACAAAAAAAAGTTT